GCATTATAACACAGAACACTGTGTTGTCATTCTTAAATCAAATTTTAAAGCTGCGGGTGAGCCTAAATTGTCAAACATTTCACAATTTTTAATAATGCACTGGAAGTGGATTATCGCATATTGCATATTCTGTGAGAAATATGCAAGACAACACTGAAAAAGGTGTTAATTCATTCTTCACTCTAACTTTGAAGGTCCCGTCGAGCTTAAATTGTGAAAAATTTATGATTTTTAATAATCCTTTCGAAGTCGATTATCGCATATTGCATATTCTGTGAGAAATATGCAAGACAACACAGAAAAGGGTGTTAATTCATGCTTAAATCTAACTTTGAACTTAAATTGTCAAAAATTTCAAGATTTTTAATAATGCATTCGAAGTCGATTATCGCATATAGCATATTCTGCTAGAAATATGCAAGATAACACAGATAATGGTGCTAAATTATACCTAAGTTAAACTTTAAAGTTGCGGTCGAGCTTAAATTGTCCAAAATATCATAATCTTTAATAGTGTAGGTATTAAAGTCGATTTTCGCTCATTGCATATTCTGTGAGAAATAAGCATTATAACACAGAACACTGTGTTGTCATTCTTAAATCAAATTTTAAAGCTGCGGGTGAGCCTAAATTGTCAAACATTTCACAATTTTTAATAATGCATTGGAAGTCGATTATCGCATATTGCATATTCTGTGAGAAATATGCAAGACAACACAGAAAAGGGTGTTAATTCATACTTCACTCTAACTTTGAAGGTCCCGTCGAGCTTAAATTGTCAAAAATTGCATGATTATAAATAATGCATTCGAAGTCGATTATCGCATATAGCATATTCAGCTAGAAATATGCAAGATAACACAGATAATGGTGTTAAATTATACTTAAATTAATATTTAAAGCTGCGGTCAAGCTTAAATTGCCCAAAATGTCATAATTTTTAATAATGTAGGTATTAAAGTCGATTCTCGCCCATTGCATATTCTGTGAGAAATACGCATTATAAGACAGAACACTGTGTTGTCATTTTTAAATCAAATTTTAAAACTGCGGGTGAGCCTAATTTGTGAAAAACATTTCATGGTTTTTGATAATGCATTGGAAGTCGATTATCGCATATTGCATATTCTGCTAGAAATATGCAACACAACACAGAAAAGGGTGTTAAATCTAACTTTGAAGGTCGAGCTTAAATTGTCAAAAATTTTTAATAATGCATTCGAAGTCGATTATCGCATATTGCATATTCTGCTAGAAATATGCAAGATGACACAGATAATGGTGTTAAATTATACTTAAATTAAACTTTAAAGCTGCGGTCAAGCTTAAATTGTCCAAAATGTCATAATCTTTAATAGTGTAGGTATTAAAGTCGATTCTCGCTCATTGCATATTCTGTGAGAAATATGCAAGACATCACAGAAATCTAACTTTGAAGGGCCGGTCGAGCTTGAATTGTGAAAAATTTCACGATTTTTAATAATGCATTCGAAGTCGATTATCGCATATAGCATATTCTGCTAGAAATATGCAAGATAACACAGATAATGGTGTTAAATTATACTTAAATTAAACTTTAAAGCTGCGGTCAAGCTTAAATTGTCCAAAATGTCATAATCTTTAATAGTGTAGGTATTAAAGTCGATTCTCGCTCATTGCATATTCTGTGAGAAATATGCAAGACATCACAGAAATCTAACTTTGAAGGGCCGGTCGAGCTTGAATTGTGAAAAATTTCACGATTTTTAATAATGCATTCGAAGTCGATTATCGCATATAGCATATTCTGCGAGAAGTATGCAAGATAACACAGAAAATTGTGTTAAATAATAATGTCTCAAAGTTCCGCCCTTGGTCGGAGTGTACATAATTTGAACGGAACTCCAAATCCGCTGGACAGCTCCTCCATGAACACGTCCGAAACTGTGACAGCTTCTTGATTTGGGAGACCATAAGCTTCTGTCCATTTCCAGAAATAGTCCATCGCTACCAAGATGTTTTTGTTTTCATTCCTTGTTTCTGGAAACGGACCTGCAATATCAAAGGCGATTTTTTCAAACGGATTGCCTACTTAGACAGTCGCATTGGTCCTTTCCTTTTCTTGACAGGCTCATTTGTAGTTGGACAAACCGTGCACTTCCCCACTTTTTGCCCCGAGTCTTTCAAAAGGATATTACCTTCTGGTATTATACCTGCGCTGAGCAATCTGTGGAAAAAGAGATTTTCAAGAAAGCCTTAAAAGTATACCACGAAGGTTTAAAGAAAGTTTCAGCATAGATTTCACAGTTTTCCAAAAAGCATCGAGCTTAAAAAAGTTGCTAAGACCTACAGTAGCAGAATCTGAAGACTTGGATTCAGGATCATTATTTGATAAATTTGGGATACAATTTCTAAAAGGTTTTAACGACCACAAAAGAGTTTTACCAATGGTTCTCATAGAGAAAGTTAAAACAGAAACAGAAGCTTTCGAAGAGACTTTAAGGTAGATGTTAAAGGAACGTTTCGTGAAACAGTCAATAGAGCTTTCCAAAGAACGCCGAACGGTTCAAAATTAGGGCACCCAATTTCGACAGTGACTCACTATTTTAGAAACGGATTCAAGAATGTTTAATGCTCCACCGCTATCGTTCTTGGACTAGTCCATACTCTTTTTTGAATTTCTAACACGCCTACCAAATAGGCGCCAATGGGTTTAATCGTTTACCAATGGAAAAATAGGCCAACGCCTCGAAATGGCGAGATCCCGGAAATAGATAAAAACGGAAAGGAGGAGAAGGGCATAAAAAAAAGTTGAAGCTCCCCTGATATCTTTTCAGATTCTCTCCAGATATGCAAGACCGAGCCTGGCTCAGTTCAAGGTCGCTTGCGGTGAAGTTTAAAGGTCGCGTTCTACGTGGCGGCAACCTTGGAAAGTCAAGATGAAGCTCTAGTGCATTCGCTTTCAAGGTCATTGGAGGTCGATGGCCCCCATATTTCACTTTAAAGGTTACCAATGGTGAACGCTCCACGTTTTGGGGTGCCACGTAGGTGAAGTTTAAAGGTCTTTCGGCACTTGGCGTTGACCTCGGAAAGTAAATCAAGATGATACACAGGGTCATTCACCCTTCTAAAGTGCCACGTGGTGATTTCGAAAAATGAGTCAAAACCTTGTTCGAATAGTGGTTGACCCTTAAACCTTTCACTATGCCCAATATTGATCGAAGCCATCACTACACACGTACATTCGTTTGTGGGATCCTGCAGAAACGTTAAACGTGAACGCGAATTGAGACCCCTAAACCAAAACCTAAACAGTTTGCTTTCATACGTGTTCCTATAATCGTTCACCCTTAACGATTAATGTAAAAGAAATGAGAAACGAGTAATATGTTAGGATTCGCGTTCACGTTCGGGTTCGCGTTCGGGTTCGCGTTAACGTTCGGGTTCGGCAGGATTGGTTGCCGTTCAAAGTCCAAAAGTTGTTCGACCTTCAAAGTCCAAAAGTGTCTCAACGCTCAAAGTCCAAAGGCTGGTCACCGTTCAAAATGAAAAGATTGGGCGCCGTTCAAGGCCCATGATAGGACTGAGGTCCTTTCGGTATCAACACCAGCTTACATCGCTTCCAGTCTTCGGTATAAGGACTGTTACTTTGTTCTGATCGTTTTAGTTAGGATCCTGTAGCTTCTCCTTCAGATGTCGTTATCAACTTCACACAGCCGCCTCCATAAGCGTCCCTTGCTCTCTACCTCGTATGCTGTCCTCTCGTTTGTCGCATCCTGTTTTTAGTGCATTTTTTATTGTTTGCGTTTTCTCCGTCCGTCCGTCCGGACCCATTTCTACGCTTTGAAATACTTCTAGGGGAATGGTCCTAGAGTCCTGGCATTTTTTATACTAGGTAGCCTATACCTTGAAGGTGTACCAGACGACCATTGAAATTCGCTGTGTAAAAGGCCCCCTCCCCCACGAATTATTTCCTGAGATGCTGTTTTTGAAAGTAAAACGTGCATAACTTTTACATACGACAACCAATTGGTCTCAGATTTTGCATACGCATGCCTTTAGTGGTGCCAAATTAAACTTTAGACAATTTGGGGGGGGGGGGGGGGGACACATGTTCTACCCTTCATGGTATTCTAATGAAAGGTCTCCTCATCGAAAAAATTTGGTTTGTACAAACTATAACTTTTCCGTGCGACTCCTTATCGAGATCAGTGAGCGACGGGGCCTTGGGGGGGTTAAAAATAAATTTTATCTCTCATTGTATTCTAATTAAAGGTCTTAACGAAAGGAACCGTTTTCTACCAACTACTGGCCATCTTTCTGTCTTCTTATCAAAGTACGTGGTGGAGGAGGGTGGAGGGGGAAGTGGAACTAGTTTTATCCTTCATGGTACTCTAATGAAAGGTCTCAACGAAAGGAATTAATTTCTATCAACCATAGCCCTCCTCCTCGACCTCTTATCGTGATCGGGTATATTCCCTTATACCTCAAGAACGGATCGTCGGAAGAGGTACTCACAAAGGGTGATTGAGACGTCTGCAAGGTATCCATTCGTGATGTCAAAACAAACGCTATTTCGGTTTTAAAAAAATGCGCTTTATCTGCACAGGAGTTGTGCACAATTTATACTTGTTCACTCCTCTACCCCCTTCTCGGACTAATGCATATTTTCCTCTGTTCCGCTATCTACTCCGTCCACCAGCAACCCCCTCTTCTTTGGCTCTCTTTGGCATCGTCTATCGCACACGCTATTCAGGAGTGTACCATATTATTCACCTCCTCCAGATCCAGGTATAATTTCCTGCAACCCTCAGTGTCCATTCTGCACGCATTCCAGCTTTCGCTGCGGATTTCTACGAGAATGGCAGAATACCAAGTAGAGCTACTCCCCTTATTTGTTTCTTATGGTACCCACCCATTTAAAGCAATCTCTGATGAGAGGTAGGTATGTGCAGGTAAGGCAGTCCAAATAAAGTAAAAAAAACGATATGGATTATCTAGATTTATTATCTACTGGCTGTACTTCTTGGACGTAATAAGGGCGTGGGGGGGGGGCTCATGCAGGCTGCCTATGGGCAAAATAAGACTAGTCTTCCTATGGTTTGTCCCATTACTGTTGCTCCACTAACTGCATTCCGCAAAATTGTGCATACATCATCATGAATTTGGGACGTAACGCAACCTTTAATATCTTGGTACCCCGCCAGAAGAGACGCGACACTCATCAGTAACATATGATCGGGAGACGACAACACTTCGGGCAGCTTGGTCAGTATGCACTTTTGGACGGGCTCCAGCATGGTGGGAGATCCGGGAAGTCCACATCCAAGTAATGGGCCCAAAGTTTGCAAAAGAGGAGCGCCCATCGTACTTATTAAAGGAGGTACTTTCTCCAAAGCGCATTTTTTTATTAGGGCCATATGCGCCTGAACTGCATCTAGAACAGCATCTCTGCCTTGGAGACTGCGATCTAGAGAAATGAGATTTCTAGAATGTTAACTTCAGCTGAATTCCTTACCTTCTGCACGAACCGTGGAGAAGAGTAGTACGGCGAATGGGATTGCTAGAGACGATTTCATTTTGGTAACTAACACAGGGAAACCTGTTGGGTCACTTTCATACTCAACTCTCGAGATATTTGCATAACGGTATGATAACGTAATCTTCACACCAAGTAGGTATAACTAGAGCAATAAAAAACCTTATTTAACTAACAACAACACTTTTTTGGAAGATCAAATATTGCTCAAGTTGTTTTTTTCAAAATTGAGAATGACACTGATGGTGGTAAAAATGTGTGTGGCGTATGGCACTTTGGTCTCCAACTCTTGCCATTCGAGATCTTCTTAAGCACCTTTTTGAGTAAGGTCATATTTACTCAAAAAGTTGGTGAACGTCTTATTTCAGCATCTAAGAGGTTGAGGTGGTCCATAAATGCTGCAGTCGAAACATTGGGGGAATCCAGAGATTTGACAAATATCCGATTATCTCCCAAACGCGGATCCTTTCTGACTCTTCTCAGACTTGGACCTCTCGGTATTTTTACAGTTCCTTCTGGAACAGGACCTTCTGTGGTAACATGGAGGGTTTTCTTGAAATTCAAAAACTTCGTAACATCTTTTTGAAAGACCTGGGGCACTCAGGCTTCCATGTGGCAGATAAACGTCTACCGCGGCTGAGGCTCTCACATGTCTTCTGGAAACACGCTTTCCAGGCTCTGGGGACTCCGTAACTTTGGGCCTACTAAAAGGAGCTACCCGGGTGGTGTCCTAGAAAATAGCTGCCGGGGTGGTTACTGAGGGACCTCTGAAATGGGCAGGGTGCAGGACCCGACGGGATATTCTCGGATCTTCTGTAGAAGAGCCTTACACCTCTAGAGCTTCCCTGGTTTTGGGGTGTATTCCCGAAAGCTGGCAAATGTAAGAGTTGTATGCCTACCTAAGCCCCGCCGTGCCAAATATGACAAGGCGAAAGATTACAGGTCTATCGGCGGAGTCGTTGTATCCTCAATCGGGGCAACGAAGATGAGCGCCACTGCTGTGGTTCTTGGTAGTAGAGGAATCTTTCTGCTGGAGGGTATTCCATCCCCCCCCCCAGACCCCTCCGGTGCTACGCGGTTTCCTGAAATGCTTTGAACACCGACCACAGCCATGTTATTTTCTGGGGGACGTAACACATCCCCGAAGAAAGAGAAAAATGAAAGTCCTCCATAAAAATCTCTTGAGAGGTGAAAGTGCTAAAAATTATGGAAACCGGGGGTCTAGGGGGTATGGAATACCCCCTGGTACTAGAATCATTAATGAGCTTACCTCGACAGAATATCCTAGAAGTCTCACTCACAGTTATGGTTACTTATGCGGGAGAACCACGGAGTCTTCCTACTGGTGGGTATTCCATATACCCCAGACCCTCAGATACTACGTTGTCCCACGATCTCCTGGGGAATACCTCCGCAGAAAGGCAAGAATGGAAAGTTCTCCTTAAAAGAATGTCCTGAGAGATGATAGTGCGAGGAATTTGGCAAAGGGGGGGGGGGGGTTACTTCCATATGGAATACACCCCCCCACCCGTTCCGGAAGCATTGAGGGGATTACCTCGAAAGATTATCCTAGAACATTCACTCCCGAAGCAAGGGGAAAATGAAACTCCTCCTAGAAGTCTCACACACAGTTACGGCTAGTTATGCGGGAGAACCGTGAAATCCTCCTGCTAGTGGGTATTCCATACACCCCAGACTCTCAGATACGGCGCTGTTCCCCGAAATGCTTTGAGGGCTCGCCATAGCAATGATATTTCCTGGAGGATGTAACATACCCTCGCCGAAAGGGAAAAATGGAAAGTCCTCCTTAAAAAAATGTCATGAGAAGTGAAAGTGGTAAAGTTATTGGTGCAATTTGGCACCGGGGGGGTCTGGGAGGTATGGAATATCCCTCAGTAATGGAAGCATGCATGGGCTTACATCGAAACATTATCCTAGAACTCTCACTCACAGTTATGGTCCCTTTCACGGAAGGACTATGGAATACCCCCATTTAGCACCAGGCGGTTGGAGGGTTGGAGGGTACCCCTCTCCCCCAATGGCGGAAGTATTGATGAGTTTACCTCGAAAAAGTATCCTGGAACTCTCACTCACATTTACATACGGTACTCTTCGTGGAGGGACAATGGAATTCTCCTGCTGGGGTAACCCTTCGAGGTAAACTCATAAATGCTTCCGGTACTTACTTTTATATGGAATACACCCCCCCCCCCCCCCGCCCCGTACCGGAAGGGTTTACCTCGAAAGATTATCCTAGAATTCTCACACACCTTTGCGGAAGGACTATGCAATCCTTCTGTTGGGGGTATTCCCTACCCTTTGAACACCAACCACATTCATCATATTTCCTGGAGGACGTAACACCCCCGAAAAAAGGGAAAATGAAACTACACCTTAAAAAACATCATGAAAGGTAAAAGTGCACCGGGAGGTTTGAGGGATATGGTATGGAATACCCCCAGTACCAGAAGCATTGATAATACCTCGAAAGGGTATCCTAGAAGTCTCACTCACAATTATGGTTTCTTATGCGGGAAAACCGTGGAATCCTCCTGCTAGTGGGTATTCCATACACCCCAGACCCTTAGACACGACGTTGTCCCATGCTATTTCCTGGGGGATGTAACATACCCCCACAAAAAAGCAAAAATGTAAAGTCCTCCTCAAAAAAATGTCATGAGAGGTCAAAATGCTAAAGTTATTGGATCAATTTGGTACCGGGAGGTCTGGGAGGCATGGTATTCCAGTAATGGGAGCATTGATGAACTTACCTCCTAGAACTTTCACTCAGAGTTTTGGCCCCTTTCGCGGAAGGACTATGGAATCCTCCTACTGGAATACCCCTTCGAGGTAAAACCCTGAATACTTTCGGGATTTCCATTCTGAGCTTCCATATAGAATCCCCCCGCACCGGAAGCGTTAAGGTTATCCTAGAAGTTCCGGTCACAGTTATGGTCCTTTCGCGGAAGGACTATGAAATCCTCCTGCTGGGATAACCCTCCGAGGAAAACCCTTAATTGCTTCCGGGACTTCCATTTGGAACTTCGATATGGAATACCCCCGTACCGGAAACGTTGAGGGGCTTACCTCGAAAGGTTATCCTAGAAGTTCCGGTCACAGTTATGATCCCTTTCGCGGAAGGACTATGAAATCCTCCTGCTGGGATAACCCGTCGAGGAAAACTCTTAAATGCTTCCGGGCTTTCCATTTGGAACTTCCATATGGAATACCTCCGTACCGGTGGCGTTGAGGGGCTTACCTAGAAAGGTTATCCTAGAAGTTTCGCTCACAGTTATGATCCCTTTCGCGGAAGGACTATGAAATCCTCCTGCTGGGATAACCCTTCGAGGAAACTCTTAAATGCTTCCGGGCCTTCCATTTGGAACTTCCATATGATATGGAATATTCCTCCATGCAGAGCGGGGTACTGTTCGCGAGTGGAGTGCTTTTTTCGCTCCTGAGCATTTTTTTTCGCACGTAACCGCTTTTAAGCGCCCTCAAGCGCTGAAGGAGCAAGCGCCGTTCGCGAGCGTTTTTTCCGCTCCCGAGCGGTTTTTTCCGCTTTTTTCCGCTCCCGAGCGTTTTTTCCGCTCACGAGCACTTTTCCCGAGGGCTCGCGATGAACCGCTCGAGCACTTTTAGGAGTGCTCAGAACAGAACAGAAAATAAGAGTGCTCGTCGCTCGAGCGGTTTTTTATAACGCTCGACCCAGCTCTGCCTCCATGGACCCAAGCGTTGATGGGATTAGGTACCTCGAAAGATTATCTTACTCTCACTCTCACTCACAGTTATGGTCCCTTTCGCGGAAGGACTATGGAATCCTTCTGCTGGGGGTACACCCCCCGTGTTACGCTGTTTCCTGAAAAGCTTTGAACACCTAGAGGACGTAACATACCCCCGAAGAAAGGGAAAAATGAAAATCCTCCTTAAAAAATATCATGAGGGGTGAAAGTGCTAACAGTTTTAGAACAATTTGGCACCGCGGAGTCCGGAAGGTACAGAATACCCCCCCCCCCTCCCCTCCCCCAGTAATGGAAGCATTGATCGACTTACCTCGATAGATCACCCTAGAACTCCCATTCACAGTAAGTTATGGTCACTTTCGCGGAATGACTTTGAATCCTCCTGGTGGGAGGTTTTCCATACCGTGCGGACCCCCCGGTGCTACGCTGTGACCCGAACTGATTTGAACACTGACCACCGTCATCATGTGTGGCGAAGGGAGGTTTTACTGACTTTGAAAGTTCCGAGAATCCTTATGGAGCAATTACGGCAAAACATGGGATCCTTATGAAAGAGGAATGGTGAAGGGGTAAAGAGTAATAAGGGAAGAAATGTGGTTCTGTCGCAGGTATGTCAGGATGCGCCGGTTATTTCGGCGTATCTGGGAACGCGGGAGGCGTTTCTACGAAGTTGCGGTAGAGAATTGCTTGTGATTGGCGGTTGATTTGAAAATTTTTGAGGAAGGAGTTTATTTGATGGTGGAAGTGGTGTTCCTTTTAGGCAAATGCCGAAGACTTTAAATATCTCGTAGGAGTCTTAAATGAGCAATTAGGTAGCGAGCATAGGGACCTTATGACACAGGAGGATATAAGGGAAAAGGGGGTAGAAAGTGAGGATTATCAAGATCCTACAAGTGAAGCAGCCTCTGAAGTCACTAAGTATGTTGGAGAATTATAACGTCCGGGAGGCTTTGCTCGCTGAAGGTCCTTAAGTAGCAACCAGAAATGAGACTTTGGACTTTCATAAAATGGAGGTGAAGAAGGAGAAGTGAAGGGGGCATAGAAATTGAATTTTCCGATGAATCAGTAGATGATCTGGCTTCCTGAGACCGCTTGCATGCGCTCTTCAAGTGCCCCGGTTGCCCGCAGCTCCAACATCGACTCTTGGTAGTAAGAGAGGAGGCGTTGAACTCAGAAACTCATAGAGAGATAAAATCTGTATCTGTGAGAACTTTGACCTTTCTGTCAGAATTTTGAGAGGCAAGAATCTCTAGTGGATGCGTCCGATGTATCAAACCTTGGAAATTGTTCCTCTCATTTATTTACGAC